ACCGTCTTGATCGACGACAGAAACGTAGCACGTAACTGATAACAATGAGCATAAAAGCACCGCCGTCGCAGGCACTACATTCAGGCTCTCAAAAACATGTTTTCGTATAAATGTTTCCCCGTAATTCCGTTCCATTAGAAAAGTCGTCGTGTGACGCGCCGACGGAGAGCAATGCCCTACCCCGCTCGGGGTGCTCCTTTTTTCGAAGGACTCATTAGTAACTTTCAAAACCAAACGCGCGAGCAGTATAACTCGCCGGAGCTCCATCCAGCCCGGCCGGAGGGGCCGGGGGCCGAAAAAGAGACGGGTGGGCGGCAGTTCGGAAGAAAAAACCGGAAGGCCGAGGAAGTCGTGCTGTCGTCGTTGCCACTGACGACGTTCTCATGTCCGTACGTCTACTGTTTTCACTGTTATTGTCATAGTTGGGCTTCCAAGGAGACCTATGTTTTACAGGTCGACGAACGTACTAAGAGAGAAGGCTCGGGGCATCATCTGACGTCACTGCAGAGCCTGTGATCGGAAGGGCCAAGGTTCCAGTTCCGATGGTGGCAGTGAATTCGACCAAGAACTCGAACCAAGATAAATAATTTTACCTGTGTTAGGTCACATAAAGAATAACTCACATGTAAAAATATTACAAAAATGAGAAAATATTTTTTTCTTCAACAGAGGCAAAAACAAGTTGAATGGCTGTGGAGTGTCGAATACTAATCGAATTCATTATTTCTGTTTGCAACGAGATGGCAGAGTGAATAAAAACAACATGTGATCCTGAAAGTTTTAATGAGTTTAAATGTATAAACAGTGGTTTTCCTGATCTGGTCGTGCAGATTTTACTCTATGTACTGATTATGGGTTGAAGAAATACAACATAATGACATACGAAATGTAAAGCAAAATAATCAAGGTACTACAAATATAATGGAGGATGAAAGAAACAAACCTAGAGGTGCAAAAAACTACGCATTTGATCAAATAAAATGTTGAGAAAGTTCTTTAATTCCATGAATTTTTGAAGTCATTTGAGTGAGATATTATTGATATTACTAAATTTATATTCAACTAAGAAGTAGCTTTCTTAAGCGCACTATTTGCGAAGGATGTATCATTTCAGAACAGGTTCTTAGGCAATGAAATAATATATAATTCGTGATCTTCGACGTCTATCGGAATATTATAGTTGAAGAGTATTGTCAGGTGGTATTGAAGTAATATTTCTTGTCAGATTGGAGCGCAAACAACATGTCGATTTTACATGAATACGTTTCACGTGATTTGTGTTACGAACAAAGAGCAAATATTTCAAATTTCAGATCAGTTTTTTACGAACAGATGATTCTAAAAATCGATTTAGTCATCTCAAAGGACAAATGAACAAGAAAAACAAAAATGAAAAAATATTTTTACTATGTAAAACTTTCTCAATGTTTATTAAAATTACTATATTCCAGAACCTGCCTAGTTGAGGTAAATCGCCAGAGTCAAACCATTTAACACCGTTGAATAGTGAGTTTCTTATGTAATTCTAAATATACAAACTTAATATTCACGTTGTCGTAGGTTGGATGAGTGTATTTTTATTACAAGCTCGAGGTACTTTTCCGCGGTTTCTCCGAACATTACCAGACAATTGCGGAGATAATTCCCTAACAAACGGGCCATGAACCGCACGCGATCTTTCCTGCTTCTTCCTTGTCATATCATCAACCCTTACTTACAATTACATGCTCTACACTACCACACATGCTGGAAGACCGGTCGGGAGCTTGGAGCTTATTCCGGCCGAGGCGTTGCCTGGTTGGGGTAAATCTTTCAAGCCGAAGGAGGCGTCGGCCTCGGATTTCGCCATCCAGCGGCTCGCAACATAATCACTACCAGCTCGCTAAAAGCATACACTAAACTGACATGACTAATGTTCTTAACAGTTGGCACTTGCGGAAAGAAATATCCAGCAATCAATCAAGAGGTACGAAATGGGCGTATATTCCTCATCCTCGTCCTTTCTATATTTATATTATTACAAATTTGTTCATTTATTCTACACAAAACTCCTTCAAGCACGTATTGTTAAATAGAGATTTACACATTCAGACAAAACAAAAATGAAGCAGTGGAAATAAATTTCAGAGTGCTCAAATTCTCACGTACGGTGATTGGATTGTCACAATTCCCTTACACCACCTCCATCACCGGAAAGGTACAATCGTAAATCGAAATACAATTGTAAAATCGCGTTTCACAGTCGAAAGACTTCGTTGTCTCCACCGAACTGAGCAGTCACGAGGGGAATGCCATCTCCATCTCTTTCCTCTACCTTTTCCCCTCCCACCGACCAATTTTAATGCTCCCGGAGCAACGGCGAAAAACCTTCTCTTTGTGTACTCCATTACTCCTGAATTTGTGGACAGTGTACACTAATAATAATGGAATTGTATTATTCAATCTCGCGCGGGAGATAATGTAATTGTTTGTGGTGCGGCTTTTGGATTCATTTGCGTAACTGTGTGCTGCGAATTAATCTGATCGTCTGTAGCGATTGCGTGGTCTCCGGAGCGCCCGCAAGGGGTCCGCTGCCCCCCTCCCCCCTCC